GGATGAGATTGTGAGGCTACATGGAGTTCTGGTAATCATTGTATCCGATAGAGATCCACTATTCACATCATGATTTTGGATGAAGTTCCAAGAGTCTATGGGAACAAAGCTGGAGTTTAGTACTGTTTTTCATCAAAAATGCATGGGCAATCTAAATGTGTTATGCAGATCTCAGAGGATATGTTGAGGGTTTGTGCATTGGAGTTCCAAGGGAGTTGAGATAAACACTTGATACTTATAGAGTTTGCCTGTTATAACAGTGTTAGTCCCTATTTCTAACAATCAAACAACTATAGAAATGAAGAAGAAGCAGATAGATTTCCCAGAAATTTGGTACACCGTACGAAATGGGCCGCTGTTCTCCCTCTAGAGAGAGAGAGCAGCGTGAAACTATTCTATCTCTGGTCTGCCTCTATTCTCTAATGCCTTTTTTCTCTTAGGTTAGCTTCCTTTAATAGGTAAGGAAGTATAACTTAAGTCTTACAAGAGGTTAATGGGCTAATTTACAATTGTGGCCCATATTACACATTTAAATAATAACTACACAAATACAAAGATAATTAACTAGATTGGACACCATTAAATATTCCCAACAATCTCCCCCTTGGTGTTGAATCTTGTTTAATCAACATTGCAGCGCGGATGTAACACTTGAGATTTAATATAAACGGATTAATAGTACTACTCATACCAACAGAGGTGCATCTCCTTTTAAGGGAGCTCATCACCCAAGAACTCCAAAGTTAAGCGTGCTTGCACGGGAGTAGTCTTGGGATGGGTGACCCCCTGGGAAGTTTCTCAGGGCGCGCATGAGTGAGGACAAAGTGCGCGGTAAAGGCTCGTGGTGGTTTGTGAGGACAGTACTAGAGGTCTGGAGTAACTACCTCGGGGCCTGCGGGGCTGGGGTGTTACAGCGGATATCTTTGACTTTGTGTTGATTCAGCAATGTAAAGGAGAGCGTAGATAAGATTTGTTGAGTTGCTCCACTTTGTCTTGAACTTCAGTGCAGCTCAGCTTCCTTTGTCTTTGAACTCGGCTTCTTGAGAAGGCTTTCTGAAGAAATCCTTGCAATCTCCCCTTTGGTGTCTTCATGGCTATTTGTTCTTTGATGTCGGGGAGTTGAAGAATCTTCAAAGTCTTGCTTGTAATACTTGTCTTCCAGAAGTTGCTCTTGATCAGTTTGAATGAATTCTGATGGCGCCTCTAGAACGAGTGCTCGCTTGATATAGGCGCACACGGGAATCATCTTCAATACTTGAATATTCGACCTTTGGATCCTCCAAAGTGTAGGTGGCACAACGGGAAAAGATTGTTTTTGAGGAGATCTCGTCGATGGCACTGCGGAAAAAGATTGTTGATTTGTGAGTATAGCTGATCATTTGATTTGAAGCTGGCTGGGCAATTGAGTTGAGAAACTAGAGAGTCATGGGAGAGAGAAGTATCCAAAATGATTTGTTGATAATGAACAACATATGGACCACTCTCCCCCTCATGACGATCCGATGAATCGGGGCGTCATGCCTTTATTCTTTTATTCTAGGAAACCAAACAGAAAGTAAACTGAAAGGTTAAATGATAAAGACCGGATACACTGAAGTGTTTCGTTAACAAAGCATCAATGTAAACATTAATGTGTGGCCTGTATAAAACGATAGAAGCATTAAAGCTCTAACAGGACTTCCAACCAATCATTGTGAAGCATCTGAAGTAGATGTCAATCCGGTTGTTAAGGCATGATCATAAAGATCAGCAATGAAAACCGTAGCCCCCTGGGGTCGCGTAGACACCCGTTATCATCACCATAGAGATAAACTCTAAAGCGATGGCCTGAACATGTTGGTGATTTCTATGTTGCAACATCATGACTTCCTTCCAATCATTGATTTCATCTTTAATAGATGAGTCCTATGGAAGTTCTCGCGGGTCATGAAGACCTGCAACTGACTCTAAAAGTGTGTTTGTGTCCTAGAAAATTCAAAACATTTGGGAGTAATATAACTAGACACAATGTGATCAATGAAAGTCCAGTGGCATGGGGCTGAGAGGTTTGGGAGCTACACATTGAAGATAGAACAAGAGAGGAGCCTACTGCGTATAATATATTGGCACAGCTGCGTAAGGTGGATGCCTCCCCCATCATTTGAGCTCCTCTCATCCAAATTGATTAGTTAAGGTGTCATTGGAAAGCTATGGATAAGCTCTTTCATACGAGCTAAAGTTCTGGGGAGAAGAGGATGTTAAGGTCCCAATAGAACGGATAAACACCTGAGGTAACAATTCATAGTCTCAAAACAGTGGGTTTGTTTAATTTGCTAGTTATTTCCAAGGTTGTTTATAAATCCTATGGACGATTAAGAGGGGTTGTTCTACACGATTATATGTGTAGAATATTCCCTTAATATAGTTAATTAATCATTCAAAAGGTTGGATACTAACTTAGAAGAAACTTTGAAAAGCTATGAGGTGAACTTGGTGAAAATCACCCGTTGTAAGGGATCCATATCCAATCGTTCTAGCTTAGAGGAAGTTTTCTAACCACCATTTTGAACCAAGGAATTCATATCCAATCGTCCTTGTCCAGATTTTTTACCATTGGACTGAAAAGGGCTCAGACTAGAAGTCAATTGAGGTGAGGATTGACATCAGTCATAACTTGTAGGTTAAGCATAAAATTGCCTAAATGCTTAAATTATGATTTTTCATGGAGTGTAATGCCTAGTTCTTGATAGAATATGAATATCTCTGATTTTGAACAAAAATGACCATGATTAATTTTAAGTTATACTTAAGATATGGTGCTAGTTTAGCTATTTATGAACTTTTATGTTGAAATATGAATTTCTATTTCGTTCATGTATGGCGCATGTGGATAAGAAACAAATATTGTATATACTAAAATGGTCTGTGGTATGTCTGCCATGATTTTTTAAATAGGTTGATTCATACATGAAATGGAGACTTGAATGTAGTAAGAATAACCAAAATGGTATAAAGATGTTAGCTCTAGGTTGTTATGATTCTTGATAGCATTGATCTTAAGGTTTGGATTGAATTATGTAGTTCAATGTAAAATCCTTTGATATCCGAATATCTTGAATGTTAGAACAAGGACCATGGCCCAACCCTTGTCTAAGCGGCGTGTGGTGTTGGATTAGCATGGAGCGCCACCTCTAAGGAGCGCCACCGGATAGCATGCATGGACTTACCAATGTGATCACGTGTACGTAATGGACTCCAAACCAATTCCAATGGCCATATGTGGCTTTGGAAAAATGGTGACATTGTTTAGGACCTCGATAGACACTACCTTCCTACGGGGAAAAGGGCATCGGTCTAGGGGTAGGGTGGTCGTAAACAGGCCCAAAAACCCATGAGATCTTGGATAGCATTGACGGACCTTGTATGAGTTGTTAATTAGGTGGGACAGTCAATCTTGCCCCCAAGTCTCTAAGGAGTTTCGACAGCTGGGACAGACCCACATGATGGTTGACGCCATCGAGGTTAAATGAACTTATGGGTTGTTATTGGGAAATGATTTACAAATCAATGGGACCACAGACCGACTACTTGACGCTATATAAAAGTAAGTATGTTTTAAACAGGGTAATTAGGGGTTATGACCTAGATTATACTACCACCATACTGGAGGGTCTTATGTTTGAAATACTTGTTATATACCACCTTCGTCCTGTTGAAAGGTTCCCTTGGCAAAACAACACAGTTATTTAGACAATAATTAAATAAGGTATCTCGAGTATATTTTGAGAAGTAGTTTTAATAGGTATATAATATAATGGGGTTAATGTTGATAAGTGTGATGTTATAAGTGCATCATTTATAATATTTAATGATTAATTTTTCATTTAAGATTGTTAATTATTTCCTAAAATGGAAATGAGAACATTTCTATGAGACGTCTAAGGAAGGAAAGTTGAAGCCTTACTATGGGACGGAGCGCAATTTATACTGTGGGATTGGCCCACCATGAGCATGGTGTGCCCATTCGAAAACGACGTCGTGTTGTTTATTAAAAAATTAGGTTTGAGCTTGGCATTAACTGATTGAAGCTTAACATTAACGGATTTCTCTCCTTGCTCTTCGATCTCTTCGAGCAGTTCTTCGAGTCGTCTCTAAGGTTCTTCAATGAAAATTTATGTCGATGATTCTGTTCTTTTGAATTCTTCGATTGAATTCCAAGATGTTTTTCCCTCTAATATACACGATAACATCATTCATTTAACTGGTGACAATAATTTAGAAGTTGATCAGCTCATTGATGTTGAATTGATCGGTAAGTATTAATTTTTTGCTATTTAGAATTTCGTTTATTTGTGTGTGTAGTATTGTTTAATATCTTTCGTTTTCTGTTTTATACAATTGCTTGGGAATTTGGCTTGTGGCATTCATATTTGTTGAATTTTGTTGTTTTACGTTCAGAAGAAGAAGATAATGGGTTCAAGGGCTTCTAAATTGTTTTACTTATTATGTCATGTGAATTTATACCAATGTTATGTAACATCAATTTATTTTGTTTGTAACCTGCATTCAGTAGTATGTAACTCATGTTCAAATCCTGGGCCGGTACCGGGCCTTTGCCCCCAAAAATCCAACCCGCTCCTAACCGGCCCGGAGCCCGACCCAGGCCCGGGCCATTACTAATCCTACAAGCTTGTGATGGATCCACTTTTTGGCAAAAATAATCTGAAATCAACCTAGCTAAGCAAGCCTTTTTTCTTCATATAATCATATTTTAGTAACAAATCACGAGATTTCTGGCAGCAGCTTTAGTGCTGCTCCCCCCACCGCACTTTGTGCTCTACTTTTTCACGTCTCCATAAGAGAGGATTTCTACCATTTTCATTAGTCAAAAGTTTCGACTAAAGTTTAGGTGACAATTACAAAGTATTGCAGAGTGAACAGAAAAACTTTTGATGACATTATTGTTAGGCTGGAATATGAACTTTAAATTTGGGAGGTTTATTTGATGAATGCAATTTTTAATTCACACTAAGAGAATAAGAGAGTCTTTAATATTGGAGTTCGGACGCCCCATAGGCTTGCTCAGCAGTGGCCTCTTTTGACATGCAACAAGTGTTTTTTATGTGAAAAAGGTCTGTTTCATATAAGTGAAATAAGAACCAAGTCTAAACAAAACTTGTCCTCATGATAAGGATTATACAGAAACTTGTATCAACCAAAATTAAAGTAAATTGATGGGAAAAAACAGCAGCAGCAGCACTGCCAAAAAAACAAGATGCACTCTGTCACAGAAAGTCAGCAATCAAGGGCTTGAACTGTCCTGCTACACACTACTCCCGTAACCAGTCGCTGCTGCTTGTGTTGCAGGTTGAGTAACTACATAACCACCCGACTGAGCAGCAACTGATTGATCATAGGCAGCTTGAGTAGCAGTAGGAGGAGGTTGAGCATAACTTGGCTGACCACTGTAAGTTGCTGCTGCAGACTGCGCATAAGGATCTGCAGCTGGTGGGGGTGCCTGGTACCCAAAACCCATACTGCCACTATTGTCAGCTGGTGGTTGTGAAGGATGATAGTAAGAACCATAAGTAGGAGGCTGCGGCCCAGGCCCATAGCTCCCAGAGGCAATAGGCTGCTGCTGTGAATAGACGGGGCCTACTGATGCTGGTTGTTGTTGTGGGTGCTGGCTGTAACCATCACTGGAAGGTGCAGTATGACCATATGCTGGGCCGGGACCTGGGTACATTTGTTGCATAGGCATCCCGGTAGATGGGTAAGGATATTGTTGCTGGTTGTAGGCTGGCTGCATAGGGGGGAGAGGTTGCTGGTTGTAAGGAGGGGCTTCACCCCTTGGCTGCTGGTTGTTGTACTGCTGTTGCTGTTGATGGACATGGGATGCCTGTAGCTGCTGCTGTTGCTGCATACCACCATAGGATGTAGCGGGCCCTCCAGTTAAACCGCCTTGAGAAGGATATGCAGCAATTTGCTGAGGCACCATCCCTTGTCCTGCAGCATACTGATTTGAGGGTAGTGGCATATGACCAGGATGCCCATAATTCTGTGCATATGATGGTGGTGGCTGCTGTTGATAGGTAGGGTGGGATGGCCCATAGTTGTAGTTCACCTGTAAGATAGTAGAGCACACAGGACAAAAGCATAGTAAACATTGGATGAATTCCAACAATATAAAGAGTTGAATGGCTACGGCACTGGATTTAAAGATGCCATCTTTGCAAGATAATCTAAAGCCCAACCTGAAGTGGTGGTGGACCCTGCTGCATTGGTGGTGGTGGCCTTTGATCCCAACTTGGACCAAACCCACTTCTGGGAGGAGCTTGCTGTGGAGGATAATTACCATATGCAGCTGGAGCAGGGTATTGGTGCGGACTGGGAGATTGGTATGGACCTCTCTGGCGGTAGTCGTAACCTGGGTTCTGTACAGGACCATGTGGCGGTGGTCCCCACTGTGGGGCAACAGGTCCATGTGGATGGAATGTCTGCTGCTGACTAAACCCAGTAGACACAGGAGATGCTCTAACATGCTAAAGAAGTAATAATAATAAGATAACAGTTCTGGTTTATCATTAATAAACATGCATACAACACAAAAGAGATATATTTGTTAACACGTCCTGGTTGTCAGAAAACAAAGTAAATGCAGAAACATGTCAAAATAGAGAGTGAAAGCATCAAGTTCTAACAAAGATCGAGTGCAACATAATTGAAGGCAAGATTGCATGTGTCAAAAAAAGTAATACCTAGAATTAACACGGAGACTCTTATGCATAGTTCAGTGCTTCTCACAAAGACCTCAAGCTACATAGGTTAATCTAAAAGAAATTGCATTAAATAGGAGTAAAAACGATGTTTAATTCCAAAATAAGAGTACTACGTTTTTTTTCAAAATATGAGTAATTACTGCCATGCTTGGAAAATACTCCCGAGTATGACATTAGTAATGATATTAATGCATTGGCAATGCCAAAATATAGCAGTACAATTCTAGGATAGCAGTAATTAACTCTTATTTTGGGAAGAAAAAACACAGTGCTCCTATTTTGGAGTTTCACATTGTTTTTACTCCTACTTCGGGAATTTTTCCTTAATCTAAAACTGAACCTAGAAAAAGCATACAGATTTATTAACTAATACAGAAGCATCATCATTGTAAGATTACATACTAAGATTTCACAATTCTTAGAATGACAACAGCATTCAGCTTTATAAATCAGTTTGCCTTGTAAACTTTTCGGGTGAAGAACTTGGCAAAAAACTAGCAGGAGAAATAAGTTTAGACTAGATTTAGTTTGCATGAAGAACTCATGGAAGCAAAGCGACAGAAGTGGAACTTGTACAGTCTTACAGTAGTCAGCATGCTGGCTTCCATTAGCCCAACGACTCCAAAGATATAATGAAATAATCCTCATAAATAGATGGTCTTCATTTATAGTATTACATTTGTTATGATTATTTCAAAAGAATATGACCGTCACTAAAGCTCACACTGTCAATTACAAATATCAAAAGGAGAGCCCTGAGCAAATACAAATGATATACTTCGTATTCTATTTTCCATGTCTACAAATGCCACAAAAATGATATCTGCACACTCGTTTTTTGGCACATTTATGAAGAGCTAACTTGATTTTATCCATGCCCTTGGATTAAATCAATATACAACTGAACACTGGGTATCTGAGGAATGAGACCATGAGGAAATGGATAAAAAAGCATGAAACCAAGTCAGCTTTGTCTAAAAAAAAGTAAAAAGATGGCATTGTGCATATTCTATTCAATGAATGGACGGAAAAAAACATGGATGACTAACAAGGTGTAAACCAACAGAGCACCCAGGTAAGATAACGTAGTCTTTAATACCACTATTATTTTGGGCTTAGGTCACAAAGCAATCTTACCAACTATACACAGCCAGATATTGTGTGGGCTAATGCTTGATACCTCTCTTCTGAAGATGAGAGTGAATAGTAGTTGACTATTGCTACACGAAGAAGGCAATGCTGACCTGATGTGAAAAGCAAAATCCAAATCTGCATTTTTAAAGCCAACCAACTGGAATTGGCACCTTCAACATGAAAAACATCATGGATACTGACATCTCATTTCAATATATGATCACCTTAGCTGCATTATGTGACCTTGTCATAAACAAATTTTTTAATGGAAAAATTCTCCTATCCTTATTGGTGACAATTTTTCCAACTCATGAACAGTTGCATCCCAATTAATCACTTCAGGTATGGCAAGAACTAACAATGGGAGAAGATATATAGGTCAGAGAACCATTGCACTAGAAAAACTAAGATCCTCTCTGAACAAAGCCTATAGATTCCGGATATATCCTTGAGACATGGGAATATGGTTTCATTTATCTAAATATGGTCATGGTCCCACATCAATCAAATACTTCATATATGGTCTTGCACATACAGTAAAAACAATAAAATGCTTATAAAAATGAACTGATGCATAATAGCAAAGCATTATTTTGTTTTGCAACACCCACAAGAATATAAGCAAGCATCTTAGATGAAACTTCAATTCATACTTCGTGTGAATAATAATCACTAATTCAGCACTCACCTTTAATAAATAAAATATAGCAAAGGGGTATAGCAACTGCGAGATGATATATCTTGGTATAGCAAAGGGGTAGGAGGAATCAGAACATTATGTAAACATCCATAAGAAATCACAACCATACTTTAGATTCAAATGTAAATACTAAATACTCAAAAGAAGTGTGGCTTATTTAAAGAACAAGATTTCAAATGCATACAAACCTGATCCATGACTTCTTGAATCATTTCTCTAGCCCTCTCAATCTGCTTTCTGTCACCACTCACTCGTACTGTTCTTTCTTTAACTTGTTCTCCTTCTGAGAGTTGCACAAGCTGAAAGAAAAAAGAATAATCAATAAATAAACATGCCAATGAGATTTTAAGGTTAAAAAAATTAAATCCTAGTGTAGTAAAATGACCTATACTTCTAAAATTGTCAACTTATAGCCACATTTGTAAAACTAGGTGCAATTATAACCACTCATATATAAAGTGTTTTTATTTTTGTGCAGAGATTTGAAAAAATGCCAAGTTAGTTACCAAGTTAGCCACATTTTATAATGTCCCAACTTTGGCCAATTCTTAAGTGGTCAAGATTTAAATGACTTGACAGACACGATAAACTTTCAAAACAATATGAGCTTCATGGATTTGCAAAGTTGCAACTGATATGAAAAATCATGGCTAAATTGTTAGTTTAAAAGAACTGGCAAAGTTGCAGCAAATTTGCAAAATCTTGGCTGAACTTACAGCCTTAAAACAATTGGCCAAATTAAAACCTATTGTAAAGGAGATAATTTTTTACCATAGGTCATTTACTAATAATTTGTACAATTGTGTATAGAGAAATTAGCAGCTGCCGGTAATTACACACCACCTGAATGCGTGCTCCTGATCTTCTTTGAAGGTTCTTGATAGTTTCTCCATTTCTTCCAATAATTAAACCAACCTGGACATATAAAAATGAAAATATACTATTATGTAGTGAATTTAACATACAAATAGAAAAATAAGAGGGCAAGAAGCGGAAGAGGATAGCATAAACATGGAATAGAAAGGTATTCACGAACCTTCTCAATTGGAACTTGCAACTCAATTTGATCTCCAACCACAGATTGCACAGGGTTGAAGCCCCTAGCCACAAGGGAAGGAGATCCACCAGCGTCAGCCTGGAGAGGACAACATTCAGTGAAAGATCCAAAAAAGGTGTAGAATATTATTTGGCTGGATCAATTGTGCAAGTATACTGAACAGCCCTCGTTAAACAAATTATAAAAGTGTGGCATACCTCAGTTATGACATCCTTGATCAATTTTTCAGCTTTGCTTATACTTTCCGTAGTTCCAATTAGCGTGACAGACCTAGTTATGGAATGAGGGTCAGAATCAGCATCACGTGTGATTTGAATTTTAGCACCAGAATTGTATTGCAGATGTCGAATAGTTTCTCCGGACTTTCCAATGAGCACACCAACCTGCGCCCACCACAAAATGAGGAAAATAGGTACATCATATCCTTAGAAAAATGCATACTTGAAAGTAGTTGTAGAGAGTAGACACTAGCAGCTTTCTCCACAAACCTTGTTGTTGGGGACCTCCATTTTGTGTGACACTGATTGGGTATCCAGTACTAGAATCTTCTCTTGATCATTTAGAGCATCTCCATGTTGAGGAACACAAGAAGGGGGCTCCTGATCTTCACTTTTGGATTGCTCTTCTGAATTATCATGAGTCTCAAGTTTTTCACTATTGTTGGATTTTTTATCATTGCTCGTCTGCAAATCATCTATTCGAGCAAGTTGTTCACTGATAGCAGTCTTAGGGGCTTCATTATCTACCTCAGGAGTATTATGCAACTCTTTTTCAGTACTACTGGATTGTTGAATGTTGGTCGTCTGTAAATCATCAACAATTGGAGTCTGTTGTCTATCGATAGTAGTCTTGGGAGCTTCATTATCCAACATGGGACCATTATCTAATTGTGAAATATTATTATCTAACTGTAAACTAACGTCCAAACCAGCTGGCTTCTCTCCAGTATCATCCACTTTTGACCCGTCCCCTTTCTTCTCTTCTGTGCGTTCATTATCCACCTCAGGACTCTTATCCAACTGTATACTATTATACTCTTTGGACTCCCCTGACTTATCCTCTGTGTTCCCATTCTCAGCACCTGGATATCCAGAAAGATAGCATCAGAAAGCCGTTAAGTTTCAGATTGTCTGAAGGCACCGTACAAAAAAATCATGACAAAAGCTATGAGCCTAAAACAAATCAGAAGTCGAAGGAAGCAATGAACAGTCCCCGTATACATGTGCTTGAGTGATACTTCGTAATACAAAACATCGATCAAATTGTCATGGATAATATAGAAATGCATATTTGCATGTTTGAACGCAATCATTGAATTCATTAATAAGTAACCATGTCTTTGAGCCCGTACAAGAAGAAAAATGGCAAGAATACCCATTTCATCCGCTTTCTTTATTTCGTCGGCTTTCTCCTCAAGACGAGGTCGCTTGACTTCAGACCCATCATCTTGAGCGTCCCTTTCACCAAGTGCGCCCTCCTTCACCTCCGAGTCGGTTTTCTCGGCCAAATCTGGCCTGGGCTCCTCCTTCGAGACCGACACTCCTGGAGCTGCTGGTTCCAGATCCTCAAGCTTCCGTTTGAGATTGTCAGAGTTCGGAACCGATGTCGCCACCACCACTACTTCCTTATCCGCCATTGAGATCCAGTTCCTGAAAACCCTAACGAATGCAGTGAAACCGTTTGAAGAGGGGTCTTCCTCAAAAGCGATGTATTTGTACGACCGTTTTCTTTGGGGTTCCCCATATATTACCAGGGGCAAACAAGTCCTGAACTAACAAAAAAAAGTGCAAATAGACCCTTGACAAGTACTTTTTACAAAAAAAGTAAATATCTGTGGAAACAGACAAAATTTGTCTGTGTACACAGACAACTCTTGTCTATGGTCACAGGCAACTCCGTACCAATTGTCTGTGACCGACATTGTGTGTACAACTTGTGTACCCCTAGCATTTTCCTACTACTAGTACAATATTGAGTTGAAAGTCAATTTCAAAAAACAAATGTGATCTTTTTTTTACGCCCGGGGGCAAAACACGTTTGGTGGGGAAGTGTCGGGGAACACTTCCCAATTTTATTACGAACGAGGGTAAGGTTACAAGTGATACTTACAACATAAAGCAAGACAAGTTCCTGTTGGGCGGTGTAGTCCGAAAATGTAAAGGGAAAACGAGCCCATGGAGTGGGCCAAGAGGAATATTTGTAATGGGTCCTTAAAGTCGCAAACATAATAAGACCAACGACTTCCTTTCCCCTCGCCATACGATTAACCATACGAGAGTTTTTCATATTCGTTCTAGGGAGAGAGAGTCAGCGGTTTAGATGCGGTCGAAATCCTTGGAATCAGCCTGTGTCGCGGTGAGGTAGGCTTCTAAGATCACTTGGAGATAAGACTGTATTTTGCTGTGATGATGTAGATCCCCGTGTTCGCAGTCCGTTGAAGATGGGTCCAGTTGTGTGAAGCTTCTGAGTGTCGTCTTCCTCCTGGGTTCGCTCCGGATTGTGACCTTCCTGATGCACGGGTCTGCTGATGATGATGCTTGGTTGCTCTGATTTGGGGGATATAAGTGTCTTCTATCTGCGTTTTCCTCGTTTTGATCTTCAGCGTTGTTGTAGTTTGTATAGATCTTCTGTGATGTTATGGTGTGATATTTTGGTCATTGCATGTCAGTGAAGTGAGGGATTAGTCCATCTGTGCATAGATCATTGTCAAACTGCAGTTGTTTGTTGATTAGTTTTGTGTAGCTCCAATCCCGAGTATATGATTTGATTTCTTTGATTATCTGTCCCATGGTTGTTGTATGCCCGTCCCAGATGCATTTGTTATAGTTCTTCCATACACTCCACATTATTATTGTGGGCATTATCTGTCTGAGATTGTCCTTTGTGCTATTGGTTCTGCCTCCTAGCCACCATTTAAAGATCGTTTGTCGTAGGTCCACGTGTGTTGGTCTTCCCACCTGAAAAATACATGAAAAATATGTCCGAACAGGATGGATTAGGGAACAAGTGAATAGGCAATGTTTCATTGTTTCTTGGTGTTTCTGACAGAATGGACACCTGCTGTCCATTTGGATGTTAAATCTTTTGAGATTATCTGAGAAGGGTAGTGTCTTGGCTAGGTATTTCCATAGAAAAAATTTTAATTTGAGTGGGAGTTTAGAGCTCCAATTCTGCTGTTTGAAGGTTTTGTGATGTTTGTTTCTGGTATGATCATATGCTGATGAGAGTGTGAAACAACCATCTTTGTTTGGTGTTCAGATTGTTTTGTTGCCAATTTCTTAAATGATGCCCCTTTCCTTTTGGTCAGTTTTGCACAACTGTTTCCAAGTACATGAATCTGTTGGTCTGAAGGTCAAACTTCTTGTTATGTGATACCTAGATTGCATGTAATTTGACCAGGTAGTTTTGTTCTCTTTGAAGTTCCACCAAAGCTTTAGCTGTAGAGATCTTTGGATGTCAACTATGGACCTCAGGTCCAGTCCCCCTCTCTCCCACGATCTACAGATATGCTTCCTATTGACCCAATGATATTTGTTTCTTCCTTCTGTGGTCTCCCAGAAAAAGTTTGCCATGATTCTTTGGAGAATGTTGATAACTTTGGCAGGTAGGATTGTTGTTGCCTTGTGGTGCATAGGGATTGTAGATATGACATGTTTTATAAGTATCAATCGTCCACTTTGACTCAAATTTTTCTTGCTCCAGGTCAGGAGTCTTGATTCAACGGATTGAATGAGGCTTAGGTAATGGGAGACCCTCGTGATGCCCTTGTGCATCACCACACCAAGGTATGTTGTTGGTAAGTTTGTAATAGTCATTGCATTCTTATTCTGGATTCTCAATTTCCTCGGCAGGATGGTTTTGTGACTGACAATGATTGTGCATTTTTACAGGTTGAGAAGCTGTTCGGAGCCATCCGTGAAGAGTTTTAGGAATTTCTTGAGATTTTTTAGTGATCTGGATGACCCGTTAAGGAAGTGTAGCACGTCATCGGCATAGCATAGATGTGAAATAGGACTTTCCCCCTTCCCTATTTTAAAGTTCTGTATTTGTCTTTTTTTTTATCATGGCCTGTAATCCCCTCGTGAAGCTGTCCATCTGTAATAGAAATAGGTAAGGGGACGGGGGGTCCCCCTGTTTCACCCCCCTTTGTGGCTTGAAGTAGCCCTGAGCCTGTCCATTCACAAGGATGGATAGGGTGCGTCAATGTCACATTGGACATTATTAGGCCGGAATTCCGTTTATCAAAGCCTACCCATAGCAAGACTTCCTCTAGATACTCCCAAGATACTTGGTCAAATGCCTGGGTCAGATCCAATTTGATGGCCATGTTACCTCCCCTTACTTTGTGGTCGAGGTGGTGAAACATCTCTTTGGCCAGTAACACATGCTGCTGAATATCTTGGCCTTGCATAAATCCAATGTGCTCCTTAGATAACATCCTAGGTAAAAAAAACCTTGATGCGATTTGCTAGGATTTTAGTGCACACCTTGCACAAAAAGTTGGACAAGCATATTGGCCGGAACCCTTTGAAATTCTTTGGGGTTTTCTTTTTGGGGATAAGAACGATTAAGGAACTAAGTAGGGCCTTTGGCATTGGGATTCCTAGGAGAAACTCCTGCACCGCACTAGTTAAGTCAGTAGCTATGATTTCCCAGCATTTGCGGTAGAATAGGCCGTTGAAACCGTCAGGCCCAGGGCTGCCGTTTTTATTAAGTGACCAAACTGCATCCTTGATCTCCTGCTTAACGGGGAGTTCTAAGATGGTAATGTTGTCTTGGGAAGTGATTATTGGATTTATGAAATGTAAAAGTGTGTTTTGAGCTTCAGGTATAGTCGATTGGTATGAAAAGAGACTTTGAAAGTGTCTCACTGTTTCACCTGCTATCTCTTTTGGGTCACGGAAAACATTTCCGGGCTCATCCTCAATCAGTAGGATAGTTTGGGCCTTATGTTTGTTAGTAGCATGGTTGTGGAAGAATTTAGTGTTGGCATCTCCCTCAGAGATCCATTTTATACAGGCCCGTTGTTTCCAGTTGAGCTTCTCCTTTTTAAGTCTCAATAGTAGGTTGGCCTAGGCCTTGGACCATTCGACCCTATTAGAAGGAGATGGATTTGCCTCAAAGTTGATTTCCGCCTGTTGGGTCTGTTCTTCGGCCCTTTGTAGCTCCCTAAAAACATTTCCGAATATTTCTTTGTTCCATAGACGTATGGCCTTTTTTGTTAGCTGTAGTTTGTCATAAAAAGTCCGCATACCACCCCCTCCCTAAACAGAGGACCAAGTGTTTGAGACAGTTTCCATGAAGGTGTGGTGGGTGGGCCACATATCTTGGAATCTGAAAGGTTTTTGTCCAGAGCGAATCTTTTGGGAACATGAGAGAATGAGAGGGGTGTGGTCTGAGCTTGTTCGACTGAGGTGGTTTTCAATGATTGAGTCAAAATTAATTACAAACTTATCATCAGTCAGAATTCTGTTAAGTCTCCTCCACAATCTTCCAGTTGACCTGACCCAAGTCAATCACATTTGTTTTTTATAAACAAATGTGATCGTTTTTAAATATTGACCAAAAAATGATACTCCCTGGGTCCCTAATAAATTTGCCAAGCTTGACCGGCACGAAGATTAATAAAGTGAAAATTTTGTGATTGAGGTTTGTGCAGAGGAATGAGAATTAACTGGAAACACAAATTCTTTACTTAAAAGGGAAAGTGGCAAAGTCAATGGAACATCCAAAAAAGGAAAGTTGTCAAAGTTATAAGGGACGGAGGGAATAAATAAGATCATATACGGAGTATTTGAAAAAAATGATGTTATTGTAGATTTTTATGTCATTGTGATTTTTTCATATCACTAAGTTGTCATTGTTATATTATTGTCGCTTACGGATGTTATTGTCACCGTGAACATGTCACTATGAACGTCGGAAAATTTTTCGATAACCTTTTCTCATGACCCGTTATTACCTAGACCACTCACCATGTTGCCGACCCTGCCACCATCCCCTCCCATCACTGCCTGGCCCACTTATGTTTTACCCCTGCTCCACCAACCCCACCTCTCTCTTTCCAGCCCCTCCCCAGCCCCAGCCATAGGCCTATTAGCCCCTCCCCGATTTGCTGACCGCCGCCAAAGCCACCTCAGTCACTTAGCCTCAATCCTTCTTCTACATCTCGCTTTTGCTCCTACATCCCACCCTCCCCCAACTTCGGATATAGGGTTGCGTTGTGATTTGGGGGCTCAATTTCGCAATTTAAAACCCTAGTTGTGACACCGCACCCGGATGTACTTAAATTTAAAATTCAACATGTATTTGAATTTTCTAGCGAATAAATTTAAATAAAGTGTCAACTAAAGTGGATAAAAATATTTGGACAACCTGAGTGCTATTTTGACCCAACCTGCCAAAAATAGCAGAAATAATTGGGAAGGACTTCCTACACCCACTTGGGGTATCCTACCAGCCAAATAACTCCCAAAATAATGGGGAGGGGACAACAAAATAGCTATGGGGCGGGCTAATAGGGAGAGGGGGTGGCTCAAGACAAAACCACACCTCATGTCTTGTCTTTGGCATTATTTTGCCATTTGATTGAGAAGACATCTTCTCCTCTCTTTCTCGCATCATATGAACAGCCAAGAGGATAGCTAAGCTCTGGGAGAAACACTCTCACCAAGCCCAAGCTTGAAGGAAACAATAGCAAAGAAAACCCACCACAAGAAGGATAAGATTT